TTATTTCAAAACAATATATATATACAATCTCCTTTACACTCCAGACTTTCTCCATTTGTTTCTCTACAGATCATCTCCAAAATTCTAAAACATAAGAAGTCCAGCCTCTCCAAGCCCAAGACAGCCACAAAAAAAGTGGCATTGCGGTGAGCAAACCAAACACTCGAGCAGTCTCAACAATGAAAGAACAAGGAATCCACTGGGGCCGCAAGAGCTGGGGAGACACCTTAGGAATGTGAATCTCGACAACTCAAAAAATGAATGCCCACTGCAGCAGCAAAGGCTGAGGAAACACCGTCGATCTTGACAACTCAGAAACCAAAGGTCCACTGCAGCATTCAGAGCCAATGAAGCATCACAACAAAGAAGGGAGTGCCAGAGGCAAGACCAACATGCTGCTACTGCGAGAACAAAAAAGAAATGACTCTGACTGGAACAAAGCTGCTTTAAGTTACCAACCTGAGATAGATTACCAGTCCAGGGTGTCAATAGGCTCTATGTCAGTTACATTCCGAGAATGTAGTGCTAAAAAGTGGAAAGGAGGATCCAAGTGAATGTGCTGTAGTGATGGGAAAATGAAACTTAGCCTTGTGGAGACCCTCCTGAACCACTTAAATCCTTAGTATATGGTCAAACCACTGAGACAAAGCAATTTATAGCTAACATCAGGAAGTATAATTGTCGTTTTCAAATGACTTCTTTTGGTGCTTCACAGGAGACAGAGGAGCCAGGACTTATGCCTACTTTCAAAGTTCAAGGCCAAGTCTATCATTGAATTGGATCCATTCAGCCACTTCCTGGCGAAGAGCCCAAGTTTGTCCAGATTTACATCATGGAAGGTGAAGGTCAGAAAGGTAACCAGCGATGCAACAATGTTCCTGGTGTCCAATTAGTCCAAGGGATGTTTCACCAACACAATTCATTCATCAAAAATGTTTCAAACATTCAGCTCAACAAATCACCTCTATTGACTACTGGGTTGTAATCAGTATAGACAAGGTCCCTAGGAGATTCAATGCCTCAACCTATGATGAAGTCGCTGTTCTTATGGTGGGTGTAGAGAAATGTAAGAGAGACATTGTTCTTTGATCCAAGGCAGCACCATAAAACGAATTCCTGAGACAAATAGAGCTTATGGTACCCTACAATATCTCATGATTCTGTGGCAAGGTAAAGGTGAGTGCCACTTTCAGATTCCTAAAATTATCAAGGCGACAGGCCCAGCTCATTCTAACAAAACCATCTCCTCCAAAGACTTCTATTCCTTCATGATCATGGACAGAGAAGGAGGAAACTACATCTTAATATTTGCCAACCTTTTTCGCCAGTATGTTGTGGATAAGTTTGCCAAAATTGAGAGTGAGCCTTCATATTTCACAGGTGGACCAAGACACATGCATGAGAGGACTCGAGATGCAATGATCTATATCAGGCAATATGGCAGGCCCGATCTCTTCATCACCTTCACTTACAATCCAAAATGGAAGAAGGCTGATCACTACAAATGCTGGTGGTGTCTTTGGGAAGACCAGTGAGTGGTAATAACGTGGCCTTCCTTATGCCTTAATATGGTTAAGGGAAAAGATTCATGCAAGTGAAATTGACATATTTATCAATGCTGAGCTACCTGATCCTGAGAAAGTCCCTGGTATATTTGATGTGGTCTGCAAGAAAATGGCCCATGGCCTATATTGGGAGCTCAATCCAAATTCACCCCTTATGTAAGACCATAAGTGCACCAAGAAGTATTTCAGAAACTTCTTGCAAGAAACTCAGAGAGGACATGATTGCTATCTTTTATATCGTCACAGTAAACCTGAAGATGGTGGTTTTCAAACAACACTCACACCTGATCTAACTCTGAAATGAGGATTGACAACCTGTGAATCATCCCTAATGCCCTCATCTGTGAAAGGTCTTTGAGTCCCACATCAATGTGGAATTCTGCAATTATGTGAAATCCATCAAATATGTTTGCAATTATATCAACAAAAGATCTCATATGGCTGTTTTTGCCTTCAAAAGAGAGGGTGAAAGTGTGGATGAAGTTCAGCTTTTTGACATGGGAAAATACTCCAGAAGCAATGAGGCCATTTGGAGAATTCTTGACTTCCCCATCCATAAGCGTTCCCCCACAGTGGCACATTTGGCAATTCATCTCTAAAATGGTCAACACATCTACTTCACTCAAAAACAGGCCTTGGCTCCCAAAAATACAACCCTTATGACATTTTTTTGTGTTGTGACAAAGTGACCCATTTACTGCCAACTTGATCTATCATGAAGTTCCCTCCTACTACACCTGGACTACTCAAAACAAATGGAAACGACGTGCTGGTGATGGTGAATCTGATGCCTTAGGAAGAGTCTACACAGTTCATCCCAACAACCAGGAGTGCTACTTTCTGTGAATGCTTCTCCATGTTGTCAAAGAGCTAAAATCATTCCAAGACTTCAGAACAGTGGAAGGAGTTGTCTGTCAAACATACGGGGAAGCTTTGTGTCATCCATGAAGAAGATCAATACCTTCACGAAGCCATGACAGAGGCTACTGTTAGTCAGGCCCCTTTTCAACTGCTCTTCTGCATCATTCTTCAAGTTTCTAGCCCATCAAACCTCATGAGACTCTGGCACAAATACAAGGAAGGCATGAGTGAGAACATCCTCCACAGAGCTCAGAGAGAAATCCCGACCTCAAGGTAAACGTTTCTGATATCATTTTTAACCAGGCCCTCATCCCTATTGAAGATACACTTCTCTCCATTGATAGGAAAGATCTCAAGTCTATGGAACTACCAACAACGTTCAGGGACAACCAGCATGCCTTTGCCCAAGAGATCATACGTGAAATTTCCTATAATGTTTCGGAACTTTTTTGACTTTATTGAGAAAAATGCGCAAAAGCTATTGGATGAACAGAGAGAAGCCTACACGAAAATCTTGGAAGCCATTGAGTCTAAAAATAGAGGCATGTTTTTCATTGATTCACCTGGCAACACTGAGGAGACATTTGTTTTCAACCTGCTCCTAGCTAAGGTTCGTCAGAGGGAAAAATTGCTCTAATTGTGGCATCATCAGGGATTGCAGCCACTCTACTTACTGGAGAATGAACTGTCCATTCCAGATTCAAGTCTTCATTGGATCTATCCCGACAAGAGTCCCCTTTTTGCAACATTTCAGATGGGACTTCCTATGCACAAGTCCTGGTTGGTTGTGAATTAATAGTGTGGAATGAATGCACCATGTCCCAGAAAGAGCATTTGAGGCTGTCAACACAACTTTGCAGGACCTTCGGAGCAATGCCAGGATTATGGGTGGTGTAACTTTTCTCATGGCTCATGACTTCTGACAGACCTTACCTGTTGTACCTCGAGGAACCAAAGCTGGTGAATTGAATGCCTGCATCAAGTCATCATTCCTTTGGATACATGTTTTCAAACTGGAGCTAACTACAAACATGCGAGTGTATCTCCATGGAGACCAACAGGCAGGAAACTTTGCTGCAGCTTTTCTTGATATTGGGAATGGAAATATTCTTGCTGAAGGCACAGATGGACTTACCACCATGTCTAAAGGTGTCCTTTCCACTTCAGGAGAGGAACTGGAGCAAAAGGTGTTCCCAAATATGCAACAACATTTCTAAGACATTATCTGACCATTTTGGCTCCCAAAATTATTCTGTTGACAGGATAAATTCCAGGTTGTTGAAGAAATTACCTGGAGAGAAGAAGTCCTACAAATCCATTGACTTAGTGTTGGATCTGATCAAGTTGTTCACTATCCGGTTGAATTCTTGAATTCACTGCAACTCCCAGGTGTTTCACTACACAAATTGGTACTCAAAATTGGGGCACCCCTCATGCTTTTGAGAAACTTGGACCCACCTAAGCTATGCAAGAGAGCAAGGTTAATTGTGAAAGAATTACTTTATCATGCCATCAAAGCTACAATCCTTACAGGCAATTTCAAAAGTGAAGATCTCTTTCTGCCTCGGAAACCTATCATCCCAACTGACATAGCCTTCCCCATCCAACTCAGCTTTGCAATGTCCATTAACAATGACAATCTTTAAAGGTGGTGGGACTAAATTTGAAAACTACTTCCTTTTCTAATGGACAGCTTTATGTTGGATGCTCTCGTGAAGGCAATGAAAAACATTTACATTATTTTGCGCCAGGAGGCAAGACCAGGAGCATTGTTTACAAAGAGGATCTTTCAAGTAGTTATTTAATTTTTAGTATTAGTATTTGTGTATGTATGCGTCATATTTTTAGGAAAATAAAAGTTTGAAGTAAATATGTTATTGTACTAATTTCCTTTTCGTTGTCATTTTCACCCCGAGCAACACTAGGTACGCCTTCTAGTATTTAATAGTTTTAGAATTTACCTATCACATTGATACGCTAATAAGTTTATACAATAAACCATTGAACAGTGAGACTTCCGCTGTTAGTAAATATAACAATTATTTTATAAAATTGAAAAGCTATATTTCAGTCACGATAATTTGAAAGAATCATCGTATTTTGTAAACGCTTAGTTCTATAAGCTATTGTCAATTACGTGTGCACAGATAGGGTTTATTGATCTTAGCGTTACAAATATAAAATATATGTGAATCGTTATTTACAAAGAACAAGAGTAATTATTTGAGAATGTTTTACAAATCCTTAAGAATTCTAAACGAACACAATTTTCACTGATACATAACTTAGGGACTGTAAAATTGATTCTTTCAAAATATAAAGGTTTTGCTTTATATTAATATTGTTAGAATGTTTTTCCTTTAGATTACTAAGTTTGGTTCTGTTACAAATGATCCCAAATATCTGTAACTTGATTATAAAAGTAAGTAACTTTAAAGCTTTATTATATCTCTAGATATATTAACTGGTTATGTAAAACAACTGGTTATTAATGCCTTGTTCTAATGAGACAGGGTCGAAATTTTATCAACGTAAAGTGAGAACTTGGTAAGAGTATTCGAAAAGATAAGCTAACTTTTGCATTTTTGACTCCCATAATATCACCTCCAAAAAGGTCAGGATTTTGCATAGGAAGGTCGCCGAGGTTAATAACACCTGAAAGAATAAAAGCAACAACAATTGTATATAGTTTAATGACAATGTTCATATTAAATTACAGGTCTGTGATATTAAAACTAATAACAATTTGTTTCATAATGATATGCTATACTGAAGCAAAGTGCTTAAAATATTTTATAACAAACTGATGGTAGTACTTACCGGCCGAGGCTGTGACGACGACGGTGAGGGTAATTAACAAAGTATTCATCCTTAAAATTCAACAGAGTCAGCTCTGGTCTCTAGGACAGAAACAGATGAACTATCACTGTGCTGTTAGCGTATTTAAAGAAACCCAGAGTCTGACATTTGTGTTCTACAAGTACCTTACATCAGATGAGGTGGATTTTTTCAAATAGAAACGTGATTTTCGTTTAATTTTATATGTTGGCCTTTTCTTACTTACTGTTGTTTTAACCTCAACTAAACCACGCAGGGGTATAACTACCTTTGACTTGTTGCAGTTTATGAATATATATATATATATATAGTATAGACGGTTGATATGGATGTCGAAACGTTGTTACTCGTTTTGTGTTTAAAAAGAAAATTAATAGCCATATTACCCGTCTCTATACTATATATTTACTTCAAATGGGTTCCTCGTCACCGTAAATTATTGCAATTTGATTCTACTCGTTGATTATTGCATCTAAAGATTCCTTAATTATATTTATGTATATTTTTAAAATCCTCTTTCTGAGGAAAAAACATATGCATTTTTTCTGATCATTTATAACTATCTGATGCCGAATCTGTAGTTTAAGACATACAGACGAGTAAAATTGTTAATTGTAAACGACTAGTACGTACGTACTTTGTGTTCGATCTGTGTCACTATCCTTTGCTTAAGTTTTGTTTTGTTATAAGTTGTAACCCCAAACCTACTTCTTATTCGAAGTAGTAGTATTAGATTAGATTAGATTCTCAAATCACTGTGTAATAATAATTATCGCTAAATGTATTATATCTGATTTAACAGTACTACTGAACTATATTATTATATATATATTTTTTTTTTCAAAGTATTTTAGTTTTCATTACGGTGATATTTTGTCAACGTTTCTAACTATCAGTCTAAGCTACAGTCATCTCTCATTGGATGTAGCTCTCCGTCAGACCATTCTAGTATTTCCTGTTCTTAGCATACCGAGTCTATCTGATTCCTACTTCCACCACTATATTGTCCCTCCATCTTCTCTTTTACCTTCCTTTAGATCTTTTCACTGTTCTAGGTTGCCATTCTATTGTTCTTAACTCTCCCAACACGGGATCGGTTAATTTGACCGAGTCACGTGACCTTTTGTACTCGTTTAAAGTTGATATAAATTTAATACTTATAACTCTATATATATTGGGTATATCTTCACGAAATTTGGCAGTCTTTCAGTTAATATCACAAGTCTTTCACTTACAAAAAGTCACATTTCTTAGTTAAGTATTTTTAATAAAATAAAATAAAGTTTTGTCTATGAATATATTGAGTATTTGTTTTGAATAGTCCGTGTGCAAAGTAATTTTAATGTTAAAATTAGAAATACTTTTCGTCAGCTCAAAAATCTCAAATTTCCTTGGTGTTATCTTTAAAACCTCGTAAATGCATTTCAGACTTTTTTTTTACTAAATCCGTATAGTTTATATGTTATTTTCTTTAATGTCCACCTATTATCATAATATCTTGCTAAATGCCCAACTCATTTAGTTCTTAGAATGAACCTTACTGCATCTATTATATTTGTTGCTTTTCTTATTCTGTCATTTCTTTATCTGTCTTGTAATGTTATATAAAGTATATTTCTTTCCATAACTCTTTGTGTGGTTTCTATCTTTTCCTAATCTCTTTTGTCAGTGCCCATGTTTGGCAGCCATATGTTAAGGTCTTGTAGTGCACGCTGGTCCATGAGTTTTTTCTTCAAAGTTATAGGGATATCTTGATACTCTGAAATTTTTTATAATTTCTTCCCTTGATGTGTTTTTCATTTTGAAGGTTGTCCTAAATAGTTGTACTCTGAAATTTTCTCTATTTCTTCATTCTCAGTTTTGTTGGTATCTGTGTCATGATAGTTGGTTATATATTTGGTTTTTGCCTTATGTATTTTAAATCCTGCTTTCTTGCTACTGACATTCAAACTGTTTAATAGGACTTTCATTTTTTTATTGAATTTGTAAAGAGAGCTACATCATCTGCAAACCTTAGATCTGTTAATGTTTCACCATCTATTTTTATACCTTCATTCTCTAGCTCAGTTTGTCTGAATAAATTTTGCCAAGTTATTGTAAACCGTTTCGGAGATATTGGATCGCCCTGTCTTACCCCTCTCTCTATCTTTATCACTGATGACACATCTTTATCAAGATGCAATTTTGCCGTTGCGTCTTTGTGTATATATATCTCTTACAAGTTATTAACGTTGCGGAAGAACATGAGTTGAAAATGAACGTTTAATAAAATTTAGATAATAGTTATGAGTATCCGGGCATTTGTAAAACATTGAAACGATAAACTCCTCTATGTTAGAATGTCTTTTATTTCTATGTTTCCACCATACGTCGCATCATTTATCGCAGGAAAGAAACGCCATTCCGTTTGACCAACAGCGCTGGGAAGGAGGAGTCATTCCATACGTGATTGATTATTCATTAAGTAAAAAACTCATTTTTATACATATAGTTAACTAATCAAACTTTTTCCAGACTAAGTTATAAATACTAAATACATGGATAACTACATTGTTCTGTAAATAACTTCGTTTCCAGTTTACATACTGATTAATTATAATACGTTACAGTTTACAGCTTTTACAGTAAGTAAGCTTTGTTTTAGGACAAGTACTACGTTTCGATCACTGGAGCAACCATTCTCGAGTACATTTGAAAATGGTCGCGCCAGTGATAGAAATGTCGTACCTGTTCTAAAAACAAATCTCACTGTAAAAGCTGTATATTGTAATATAATATTGTTGTGTAAAATTAATTATTGTGAATCACAATAAAAGTAAAGACTCCATCTCATTTAGCTATTTGTTATGCTACTTACTTTAATAATAATATAACGCATATAACTTGTACTAGGACGTAACAATGTTGGAAAATATTCATTTAGTTAGCTATAATAATTACCGGGTTAAATTTGTAGTTTTATCTAAATAGACAGTTTGCTTTGATCAGAAGTTAATATTAATTTCACTAAAATAGTAGACGATAGTTAGACATTGAATTCTGTAGAAAAGACGCTCCAACGTTAACATAAGCTCCTATTTTAAATAATTTTTGATTCCTTGAAATTCACCCATTTTACAGTTCTAATTCTCCATATTCATTGTTAAACACCGTACAGTAGAGAGCTTTTAAAGAACTTTCTTCAAATCTGTAAGCAGCATCTTAGTAAGTAAACTTGTTAATATGTTAAACTTGTTACTCTATATGAAATATTGAAATCTACTTATCTATATTTTTATCCATCACATTTGTCTTCATAGTAGCTTTTGACATTAAGTAGAAAACAGTTCTTTTAGTTGTTTTTATGTTGATTTTCTCGTCCAAAAGGATTTGAGAACAGTATCATTGAATTTCGTTGATTTTCCTTATAGATGACCTCGCATCCCTTATACAGAAAGCTTTCGACCAATATCACACCTTAACCTGTTTAAGGTTTAAGCAGAGGACCACTGAGAAACACTACATTCGAATATTTAAAGGTCAAGGGTAAGAATAGAATAGAATTTACTCAAAAAAGTGCAAACTATTGTGTCAGTATAAAAATAAGTAGAAAAAACGACATTTCAGTTTTTCAATACTAAAGATATGTAAAATAACTTCTATTACAGAATTTCTTGACGCTAATATCGCGAAGTAGTTTGGTGTAATAGATATGTAAGATCACAAACTTCAAAAAATAAGGGTTCATAAAGGATTAGTTCATACCAAATTTTATTTTTTATCACACAAACACCTTAGGACTAAAGTTAGGATACAATCAAATAACAAACAATATTAAATGATAAGGCGATATCTATGATTCACTTTGTACAGGTATACAGGTGAAAACTTGAAATATCTGTATGTTTAAGAAGAAAATGTCTATCTTTGGTTATCAGCAAGTTTGTCGACTTGCCTTCATAAAATTTTGGGTACGATTCTCCGTGGACAGAACAAAAATCAGCTATAGTGTTGCTTTGCGCTAAAATATAAACAAAGAAATAGCAAAGGATGTAATTCAATATTTCGTATTATATTGTTACGACAGCGGAAGTCACATGACACTGGCGTGCGTGATGCATTTCTCGAATGATCGGAGAAGTCCAAGTGTGTTGGAGATGCCCTCTTCGTTAGTATATAAGCCTGGCAGAGAAAGCCAGCAGTGTGAATGAAGAGAGAGCAGTGGTTACTTTGAGTTCCGTGTAATTTATGGTTCTGTTAGTTTCGAGTTAGTGAGCCGTAAAGTGTGTGTTTTGCGCTCGTCGAGAGCAAATTTATCGAGATTGTGAATCGCTGTGATTTATAGCGTGTATTATAAAAGTTGTTAAGTTTAAAGTGACGAGAAACGTACTGATTGTGGAACTGCTGTGTACTAAAAGTTTTTATCGAGGAAGAATAAACTGGTTTAATCAAGACAGGACTTGTATCACTAAAGATCCTCCGAAAGAATTTCTACCGGAAACAAACAAACAAGCAGATACGTAACAATATCTTATTTTATCATAATCTTAGAAAATGTATCAAAACAATACTAGGACTCATTATCCATTATTAATAAAAACGGAAAAGTATATTCAAATTTATAGTAAAGATAAGGATTTCTTAGAAAATGATACTAAATTATAATAATCAAAAACCTTTCTCAGCTAAAAGAGTAGTTTCAGACATTGTGTATAAAATAAAATATAGTAAATAAAGATATAAAACACAATTAGTTTTAGAGAAAGGGTAATTTAAGTACCTTGAAAAATGTAAGGATTATTCTATTTATTAGTTTGGTAAAAAGTTTTTATTTTTATAAATGTGTATAAATATCACTTTTAAAATGGGCAAATTATTTTCATAAATCTCCATAATCTGTTTCTTCGGAAAAACAAACTTTTAAAATTTATTAATTAACTTACAATTATTTACAGTTGTTACTTGTTTTCGTATTTATAGACAAAGTTGCCGGATTTCGAAACAAAAACAATCCTTATGAGCTCACAAAACAAGACCTAAGCAAACTACTCCTTAACAAACCAACGATAAGTAATGTAGTTCTGTTAAAAAGTTATAGTAGCACAAGATAGCAACAAATATTAAAGTGACTGTAAAAGAAAATAATAATAAGTCCAAGTCATGGGGAAATACGAGTACTTATCAACCATATCTGAGAAAGTTATAAATGTTTTTATTACCACTTAGTAACAGATGATACTTTCTCATACGTATTTTATATAAAGATATTTGTAAATTAATGAACTTGATCTGTTAGATAAATTACATAAAAGTATGCTATTGTTAACAATACATACATATATATATATATATATATATACAACGT